CGTGAACCTCGGTTCGCGTGAAAAGTGTATGCGTGAACTATTTCGGGGCTACCGCACCTCCCCCGAAAGCACGGGGGGGGTGTGCGTGAACCTCGGTTCGCGTGAAAAGTGTATGCGTGAACTATTTCGGGGCTACCGCACCTCCCCCGAAAGCACCCCCCAGCGGTTGAAAAAGCGTGGAAATTAACATAATTTATGATATTAACATAAATTTATGACAAATTAATAAATTATTTAATAGAACATAATGTGATAAGTAATAAAATACATTGTCCAAAGTACAATAATAAATTAAAGTTAAACAGAGATAATTTCTCATTTCGTTGACAAAAAGTATTATATGAGAAAAGTAAACATAAAAAATATGTGGAGAAACAATGCACATTAAAAGGAAGTGTTAGATTTAATACATGGTTTAGCAGATCTAACTTAATCTTGAAGTTATGTAGCCTCCGAGACATCTGCTTCATCGTCCACAGTCTTCGGTGGATACAAGTCCGCAATTGCACGGAAAAAACTGCTTAAGCGATCTTCATAAGCATGAACGCGTTTGAAGAGATATTCAGCTAAATATCCCACTAAATGCGAAGAACGCGTTCCATACCGTGGGATATTAGCCCTTACTTCTCTCCAAACACGTTCAATGTTCTGAGTGTGGGCTCCTGAATAGACAAACAAATAGAAATTAGTAATGCTAAAGTTTAGTGTTGTGTATTTCGAATGCATATGTTGCTCTTTATATTTGCAATGTAATTACCAGTATCTGGGTCGACGAAATTCATCGAGTGATTTACTGTCAGATGTTGGAAGCCTTCACTGTTTAAACAGTTGTACGACTTCCAACAATCCGACATTATCGTCGTCCCAGGTAGAATCCACTCCTTGATCAGCTCAAGCAGAGTTTTTTCCGTGCGGTCTTGCACTGGCACAATAAAAATTTTTTTTGTGCCACGTTCGTATCCACCGAAGATCCACTTTCCGTCGATTATTCGGCCACGATTGTACTTCCTTTTGCCGATTTTTGCTTCGTCTATTTCGACGATTATATTGGGACCTCCAAGTTTCGTCGAATTCTTTTCGGCCCAATATATGCAAACCTATTATAACAAATCAACATATCAAATTCTATAAATATATAGATATCTATTGAACATATATTCATTGTATTAAGGATATTAATTTATACTTACTTCTCGGCAAAAAGAAATCCAGTCAACAACCGAGTGCTGAGAAAGTTGCAACTCTGTGCACATAAACATAAGTCTCGGAGGTCTCAACATAATAAAATATGCAGTCATCCTGCATATTGTTTCCAAGCTTAATTTAGATTTGCTGAACCATGTATTAAATCTAACAGTTCCTCTAAATGTGCATTGTTTCTTTACATATTTTTTATGTTTATCTTTCTCATATAATGCTTTCCGACAACGAAATGAGAAATTATCTCTGTTTAACTTTAATTTATTATTGCACTTCGGACAATATATTTCGTTGCTTATCACATTATGTTCTATTAAATAATTCATTAATTTGTCTTTATCGTGAGTCACTGCCAAAAACTCGTGCAGCTGCATTTTGACACGATGACTTATGATAAAACAAAAGACTATCATTTCAAATTATGTTACACTTCTGACTTATACCAACCAAACAGTTGTCACGTGATCTGCTGCATGCGCGTGCGGCCACTGAGCATGCGCGTGTGGCCGCAGGGCATGGTCGTAGTCGCTGCATCTCGTCGGTATGACAGGAATCATAACCTGAATCCTGTCAACTTTAACCGTTAATATCTCGCTTCGCGGGGCAGAGCGACACTTTTTTCTGCCAGATTCGGTCGTTTCGTGCAAAAACGCGTCGATTGAGCCCAAGTTGAACGAAATCGGTGAGGAGGCCACTATTCTTCAGATTTACCAACTGAGTTGACGAGCGAAATGACAGCGCGGGACGAACACGGCGACGGCTGCTCTATTATTTCCTTGAATTTACGGTAAGAATTCATTGAAAGTAAAGCGTTCGGCAGGTGAAATTATGCGTTTATTAATGGGAATTATCTTTCTCGCGAGCTTGGATAGGGAGTAATACGAGCTTCGCGATGGGGCGTTTGAATTCCGACGTGGCTGTTTTAATTGAGACGACCCGAACGAGCCCGTCGTCACCCGGGTGGACGGCAGTTATACGCGCGAGTGGCCACTTCGCCGGGGACGTATTCTCGTTCAGCATCAGGCACATCTGTCCAGGTTGGTACGCCGTCGCCTCCTTCCACTTCGATCGCTGGGTTAAGCCCCTAAGGTATTCGGTCTGCCACCGCGACCAGAATTGATCGCGCATTTGCTGCAGGAGCTGCCAACGCGAGAGCCGGCCTGCAGGCACATCTAGCAGAGAGGGCTCAGGCACAGCTGTGAGAGCCGTCCCTACAAGGAGATGCCCCGGTGTGAGCGCAGCACAGTCCTCCGGATCATCCGTGAGCGGGCTCAACGGACGGGAGTTGAGGCATGCCTCTATCTGAGTGAGTAAAGTGGTCATTTCTTCGTAGGTAAGTGTGGCATCGCCGAGGACCCTTCGCAGGTGGTGCTTGGCTGATTTAACCACTGCCTCCCACAGACCGCCGAAGTGTGGAGCTCCAGGGGGATTGAATCGCCATCGTACTCTGTTGTTGGCCATCTCCTCTGCGATGGATCGTCCTTCCTTCGTGCTAGCGGAAAAGAGTTTGCGGAGTTCTGCATCGGCACCTACAAAATTAGTTCCGCAATCACTAAAAAGTTCAGTGCACATTCCTCGTCGAGAGACGAATCGTTTAAAGGCGGCAATGAAAGCTTGTGAGGAGTAATCAGAGGCCACATCGAGGTGTACCGCCCGCGTGCTTAGGCAGACGAAGACCACCAAAAAGCCCTTGATCGCCTTGTGGCCCCGTCCGGGCGCTGTCCTCAGAAATATCGGTCCTGCATAATCGACGCCTGTGTATTGGAACGGCCTCGCTGGAGTTACTCGTGGTCGAGGCAGATCGGCCATCTTCTGTTCGGCCAATGCCGCCCGCCATCGCACACAAGTGATACAGCGACGGATGCATTGTTTCGTCAGGTTGCGTCCACGTGGTATCCAGTAACGCTGGCGTACGATACCGAGTGTCAGTTGCGCCCCTCCGTGCAGTGCTCTCCTGTGACAGGCTTCAATAATTAACTTGGTGAGAGCCGATAGAGGAGGCAAAATAATTGGGTGCTTCTCGTCGAAGGAGAGGGTTGCATGTCGTAGGCGGCCTCCCACTCTCAGCATTCCTTCTTTGTCCAGCAGCGGGGAGAGCTTGGTAAGTGATCCCTTGCAGTCAACCTTGGAATCTACGGCAATTAAAGATAGTTCCCTTTTGTAGTGAATAGCTTGAACATGGCGAATCCACAATTTTTCTGCGTCGTCGATCTCCGTGGCGGATAAGGGACGACGGTGCGCCTCTCCTGGATCTCGGCGGCCGTTTTCATTCGACTGGTGCTCTCGAAGTAACCATCGTCGACACCAGGCAGTGACTCGCAGGAGTTTATGGAGTGTCGAGTACTGTGATAGCATTGGATGTTCCTCGGGGGGTTCGCCAGTGGATGTGGTCAACGTGTGCGCTCGCTGCTCTGTTTGGCACTCGTCGGGCGCTTCGATCTGTTCCACTGCTGCCGAGTTTGCTCCTTCATGCAAGAGGCTCGGACCGTGCCACCATAGTTCGTGGTTGACTAGCTCACTGGGAAACAGACCTCTAGATGCACAGTCCGCAGGGTTGCAACGTCCAGGGAGGTGTTTCCATTGGGCTTCTGGCACTAAGCGCTGAATTTCGGCGACTCGATTGGCCACGTAAGTCTTCCACCGCGATGGATGTCCTTGAATCCAACCGAGAGCTACCTTTGAATCCGTCCATAGGTGCAGCGGTAGATCCTGCAGGCGTAGAACGTCCACCGAGTGTCTCGCGAGTCTCGCCAAGAGCTCCGCCGCGCTGAGTTCCAGTCTCGCCAAGGTCACCTGCTTAAGAGGAGCAACTTTACTTTTCGCAGTGATCAGTGTTACCTTGATCTCGCCGTCCTCGCCTTCAGCTCTCAGATAGAGCACTGCAGCGTACGCGCGCTCTGACGCATCAGCGAAGCCGTGCACCGTCCTCAGGTAATTTGTTGTTCCCTTGGCTAGCGCTCTTGGGACTCTTATGTTTAAGAGCACCGGCAGCTCCGCCTTGAATTTAATCCATCGAGCAACTTCGTTTTCCGGTAAAGGTTCATCCCAGTCAAGGCCCAATAGCCACGCGGACTGGATGAAGATCTTCGCTAGAACGATCGTTGGAGTGAGCCAGCCGAGTGGATCAAAGAGCTGGGCAGTCTGGGATAGAATTGAGCGCTTCGTCACGGCACCCTCCGCCGGTGGTTTGACGGCAAAAGAGAAGCAGTCCCCCAGCGGATCCCAAAGAAGTCCCAGCGCAGAATGAGTGATCCGCTCGTCTGTACAGGCGCGAGACTGGCGTGGCAAGCGATCGTCCTCGGGTATGTTCTCGAGTAGTTCGGTAGAGTTGGCTGTCCACTTCTTCAGGGGGAAGCCGCCCGCCTTGCAAAGACCTCCTAACTGTTTCTGCTTTTCCAGGGCTTCCGCTTTCGTATCGGCCCCGAAGTAGAATTCGTCCATGTAGGAGTCCTCGAGCACTACAGAGACACCCTCCGGGAAGCGGACCTGCTCATCGCTCGCAAGCTGACGAAGGGAACTGAGAGCGAGGAATGGTGCGCAAGCTTGACCATAGGTAACGGTGTTGAGCCTTAAGTCCAGTATTTCGCCGTCCGGATCCTTTCTCCATACGATCCTCTGCAGGTCCCGATCTTCCTCGTGAACAAGTATCTGCCGATACATTTTCTCAATATCGGCTGCCATCGCATAAGTATGCCATCGCCAACGAAGAATTCTGTCGGCTAGGGCTGGCAGCAAGTTAGGTCCGACATGGAGGTGTTCATTGAGCGATGTGCCCGAGGAGACGGTCCAAGATCCATTGAAGACTACTCGGAGGCGCGTCGAGGTGCTTGCGGCTCGGAACACTCCGTGATGCGGGAGGTAGCAGACCCTTGCTGGCAGGTGAGACGTTGTCGTAATTCTTGACATATGATTTAAGTCCTCATATGTGCTCATGAAGTCCGTGTAGAGTTCTCTGAACTCAGTGTCTCTCAGGAAGCGCTTTTCGGTGCGGAGAAGAGAATGGATCGCCGCGGTACGAGTCTCCGATAGGTCCGGCAGGGTCGAGCGTACAGGCAAGCGAACGACATAGCGACCGTCGGGAGTTCGTTGATGTGTTCGGGTGAACCATTCTTGGCACTCCTGTTCTTCGAGCGTGAGAGGTGTGGGTGAAATCGGAAGCTCCTCCTGCTCCCAAAATTTCCTGACGAGGTTAGAGAGGGATTCGCCGAGTAAGCACTGGTGACTCGACACCCTTTGATCCTCCTCAGCTGGCTTGAATTGACCCAGTAGGATCCATCCAAAAATGGTCTTCTGTGCAACGGGTTGCAAGCGGGTCCCCTTGCGTAATCCCTCGAGCACTATTGATGAGTAGACGTCCGCGCCAAGCAAGACGTCGATCGGGTCAGTCGATGTGAGGTCCGGATCTGCGAGCTCGAGTCCTTGAATATGAGGCCATTCATCAAACGGTGCGTCTGAAACACTCGAATATTCGGTGAGCCGCGGCAATATGATCGCGTGTGACGTCACTGATTCTCCCCCCGAGCGCGGTGAGATCTTCAAAACGACACTGCCCCTCGCGACTCCCGTCTGGTCGCCTCCCACTCCGAACACTGCGACTGAAGTCTGTCTTCGTGGAAGTTTTAGTCTTTGAGCGAGATTTTCCGTTATGATCGTCGCTTCCGAACCCTGATCGATTAAAACCCGCGCGTTGATTGATCTCCCGTAGCGATCAAGTATTTGAACTCGAGCGGTAGCAAGAAGTACCGACGGTTGAGTACGCGGAGAGTTTCGCGCAACATGCGCGGTTGTCACACTCTCGGTCTTAGCGGTCTCGGGCTCCGTCGGAGTTTTTCGGAAAGCATCGTGCAGTGAAGTGTGATGTTTTTCGGCGCACACCGAACACAGTCTTTTGGACGGGCAATCGTTGACCTTGTGTCGTCCGAGGCAGTTCTCACAAAGGGAGTTACTGTCGACGTACTGTTTTCGTTCCCGAGCGGGTTTGCCCTTGTATACATCGCACAACATCAGAGCATGCTCCTTCTTACAGATTCCGCATCGCGAGAAACCGGGCTCTCGTTTTTGCACATGATGAGATCGCGAGGCTTTATTTCCCGTTTCCGTAGATTTATTCGCAGGCGTCTCTGATCTTCCCGGCTGAATTGCTTCCAACGTTTGGAGCCGGCGATCGAGGAAGCGCTTAAGAGTTTCATAAGTCGGGGGATTGGTCGACTCGCTGATAGAGTTTTCCCATTCTCGGCGAGTGCGAGCGTCGAGCCGCTCCACTACAAAAAAAACGAAAAGGTCCTCGCTGCTCGATATCGGACGACCGATGCTCTCCAGCGCGCCGGCAGTTGTGGACGCGCCGTTTAGTACTTTCCGCAATTCAGTAGCCGTTTCAGATTTCATTTTTTGCAACGCGGTAAATTTAGTTAAACAAGATCGCACTAGTAGTCTTTTGTTCTCGAACTGTTCGCACAAGATTTTCCACGCGCGTCGATAATTTTCCGCCGTTGTAGGCAAGTTTTTAATTAACGCCTCTGCATCTTCTTTCAGGCTTACCTTGAGGTAATGAAGTCGCTCTACCTCGCTTAGACTGCTGTCCTTGCCGATGAGGGACTGAAACAAGTCTCGAAAGGCGGGCCAGTCTTCATACCTCCCCGTGAATTCTGGCAGCTGTATTCTAGGTAGCGTGGTTCGTGATGCTGACGGATCCGCTCTCGGTTCGGCTTGTGGAGTGCGAGAAAGTCGAGTGGAACAGTCGAGTAATGTCCCCTTCTGATTGAGGTATGCCTCTTCCACGAGGCTAAAGAAATCTTCCGTCAGGTAAGAGGTACCGCTCACAGCTTCCCGGTGAACCGTACGAAGAGTTTTGTCCTGCTCTTCGAACTTGTTCCAACAGCTCTCGAGGCTGGCCAAACGGGATTGAACGGCGCCAGCGGTGATGTTGGCTTGCCCCAGCTTCCGGAGATTTTCCACCACGCGTGAGATCCTCCCATGTAAATCTCTTTGTCCTTGTATTAAGTCTTCCATTTGATTTTTCTTTTCAGGCATTGCACGGAAGCACAGTTCACAACGAACAGCAAGCACGCACTTTTTATCGCGAAAAGAGGACCGAAGCGGAACTGAATCCGATAGATCCGGCTCGAAGGACCAAAAATGTTCTTGAATTTATCAATTCAATTGAATCGCGAGGAATGGAGGAAT